CTCTTCTGGAATCTTCATTACGAAACACATTTATTGCTAAAAACTTAATATAATACATTTCGTGTTTTTCATTTTCTATAAGACTGAGATGCAAAAGTGCCGCTTTGTGTTTGTCAGTTTAAAAGATTAAGAATTAAAAACTTCTTATGGTATTATTTGCAATTGTTGACACCTTTAAGTGGCCATACTATCTAATATGTTATTTCTTTTGTTTGTTTACACTAAAAGCAATGTAAAAAAAACTTGATTTCAGGCCTCAACTTGGCAACCTTAACTAACTTCTCATGAATATCATGCAAGGTGCTTTGAGTGGTTTTGAATATTACTTAATGTACCATGCTTTTTGGTTTTCTATGTAAAATTAAATACAGATTAACATATTTCAGACTTTTTTTTTGACGTACAGGGTTTTTAATGGTTGTTAACATTTCAAATATCTGTCATGTTGTTCAGTTATTTAATCAGTCCGTCTTAGCAACATGTGTGTGACCTATGTGTGGGTTGCCATAGTAATATTTCTTCTACTTCCTGCCCCTTCAGGTTTCTGTATGTATATGTCACCATGGAAACTGTCATATTCTTTTGCGCCAGTTGTCCTTTTGTCTAAAAAAAGAAGAAAAACCACATGCTGCGCTGCACTGTGCTGAATCTCCAGATGGCATTAGTCATCTAACTGCATGGTGCGCGTGCATTTAAAGTCATTATTCTTTCCAGCCAAGCATTTTTCACATGTGAGCGCAAAATAGCAGCAGCAATGACAGCTTGATTTCTTTTTTTTTTTTCCATGTTTTTATGTAGGATTCAGGCAATAGATTCCAGTTTTTCTAAAGCTTGCTATTGCAAGTCTTGTGATGTCAGGAAATCAATTGACAATAAATAACTCTGACTTTAAGTGTACATGAAAGTCATAACTATTCAATGTTTTGAAGGAATAAACTTATATATATATATATATATATATATATATATAAAGAAATATGGTTAATCCAGGATAATTTCTTAACCAGTGTTAACTTGTTATTGTCACGTTGGGCAGAAGTTTTGGAGGACCCAAATGCAGAGACTGAAGCTGGTGTGGTATCTTAATAAATTCAGAAGGCTATAACTAAGGCAAAAAATTCAAAAATAACAAAGACAGAAAACCAAAGTTTAGAAGACATTAGGGAAAACAAACATATGGAGCCAGGAAACAACAAGGAACCAGCAAAAAGTGACTGAACAGGAGGTGTATAAAGGAGAGACTCTACAAAGACTAGGTTAATCAGCAGATTGGGAGCAGGTGTGGACAGAGGACTCAACAAGGGAGCTAGGATGAGGAGACTGATACAGTATAAGAGGGCAACAGAGGATAAACAAGAAAAACATAAGAACCAAAAAAATATATATAACCAACAACTACTAGAATAACAAAAAATGGAAATTAAACCAATACACAGAAAGACTTGATTATATAAGTATAACCGCTAACTAAAAAGAAAACTTAAACAGAACCAAAAAGTGCAGAATCATAATAATTAGGCTGTTAACTTGCAGAGTTAAATTAAAATGCAAATGCTTGCTCTTAAAAAAGACTTTTCAAAAGTTTTTACTCAAAATTATCTTGAAAATAGTCTTTTATATGACCTTTTACCATTAAAACATCATTGATGAGCAGACTGAGACCTTAGTAGTTCAGCGCTGATGCATATATAATAACACTTTCCCTAAATGCCCTTCGGGTTGGAAGTTCCCACGCTATTTCAACGGTTGTGACGTCAACTGCGTCCATGATAAATGGCTCCAACAAAGCAAACAATCAAAGCTAGATGAATTTTGTGAATACTCAGAAGCGACCAGCATCAACTCAGACACCAATGACAACTCCCCAAGAAAAAAAAAATAAATCCTTGTCGCATACGAGAACAAGCAGAAGACTGCTGCAGTTCTGTGCAGTTCTTTTGAAAAAAAACTTTGCTGGCTTTTGAATGTGTTTATTTCATGAAGATTAACTGACAAAAAATAGATAGTATATTCAATTAGAAAGGTGCAACTTGTGTTGTTAACCAAGTAGGGTTGGACAAAATTACATTGTGTAGTTACATAATTAGAAATGGCCTGGAACTACTTATATTAGATTTTTGTGATTTCTTTTTGTGCCACTCTATAAACAAAAAATTGGAAAAGGATGACATCATTTTTTGACCTCATAAGTATCTTAGTAGGCTATATGCCCCAATGCACTACTTCTTGAGTCCTAGCCAGCTCCTTTAATTCTGCTCTTTCATTACTGAACAAACAGATTAATCCAGGTGTGTGCAATCTCAGTAATCAGAATGACAAGACACACCTGGATTAAACAGTTTGCCCAGTAATGAAAATCAGGAAACAAATGAGTTGACTGAATTTCAGGTAGTAGTGGAGTTCGGAATATAGCCCATTACACTTGAATAGTTTTTAAATGATTATAAGCTTGAAATCAAAAACACACCTTTGCCTATTGTAACTGCAGGATCTATATTTTAGCCAGATTTATTGTATCACAAAATATCTAAACATTTTTCACATCATATGCCGAAATCTACATAATAAATGCCTTCAGGGCTATTATTGCTCCCTACCCTGACAATTGTGTGATGTACAGTCTTTGAATGGAATTTGTGGGCCTGTAATATATGATCTCATTAACCTTAATGGTTCTCAGTTTAATTTTAGGAAATTGGCCATGATATTGTCATGCATGTGTGTTTTGTACTGCTCATTAGTTCTATTGATACAGCTAGAAACTAATTACCGCATGCTCTGTTTAATATGGACATAATAGTAGCTGGCTGTCATTACAACAAGAGTAAAGTAACAGAGCTCCTAATCAGCTTAGTCTTTTTGTTTTCTGTTATGTAACCATGAGGACAACACCCCTTGCATTATGTGCAGCATTTGTATCCTCTGTAAAGAACCATCTTTGACAGTAGCATTGATTTCCAATCATTTAAAAGTCAAAAATCAAGATATAGGTGTCTGTCATCTGTAATACAAGCAATGTGCTATGGTGCATAAGCTGTTTATTCTTAATTGATGACAAATGACATAAAATATTTGCTTTTGGTCAAGTTTGTAATATCTTTCTTTGGACGCTCTTACAGGTCAAGCAGGTTTATTTTTGCAAGGGCCCAGCAGTCAAGCTTGCGTTTAATCTACAACATCACTCCCCGCCAGCATTCCCGACGTTTCACTAGAGCTCATCCACCCCCTTCAAACATCCTGCCGGGCAGAACCAACTTGATCGTCGACCGCCCTTCTTATCAAACTCTTTTTCTTTTTCCGACCTGTTGTCTTTTCTTTTGCTGCAGACTTGTGGTCATGCAAGAGCATGTGCATCTCTGTGCAGCAGAAAGCTATGAGCGAGGTCACACAGGAGGCAAAAGGCTTTCCTTAGTCAGTGATAAGAAATGGCCTACACAAGCATGCACTCGCAGCAACACAGAACAGCTGTGATGGATGAAATGCTTCATGAAAGGCTGCAACATGCCTTGTTTACTGTTCTTACATTTGCCGACATATTTCTAGGGTTTGTAGATCTGAAATTAATTCTGTCATAAGGAGATAAAAAGATATGGTCTGTCTGCAAAATTACTAAATTATATAAACACAGACACATTTAGATGAAACTGCTAAGCCATCTGTCTGAAAAAGGCATTAGATAGACTTTTGCAAAGTCGTCTCTTTCCTTTTTTTTCTCAGACACAAGAATGCATGACCGGAGATTGAGGTGACTCAACAGTTCATCTTGGGCAGGTCTGTCTTAGGTTTCCAGCAACCCATTACTATTTACTTAAGTCCAATTTCACCCTAAGGCTCTTAAACAGCTCCTCTCCCTCGGAAATGTTTACAGAGCAAGAGGGTTTGCTTTTATATCATACAGTGGGTTCCATCTGTAGAGATTTGGGTTTTTTCACATCTATATATATATATATCTATTATCCATTTGTTTTGTTCTGTAAAACTTTTAATCTGATGTAATTTAGCCATACACAGGCTTTACCTCCATACTAAATGTTAAATAGTTTCGGAAATATTTTCCAGGAACACCTTTGGCCAAGTTCAGGTTATTTATTTAAAATTTCCAAGCATTAATGGTAACAATTGACAATACTAAAATAAATTGAACATGATTGATCTCACAATGGATAAATTAGCTCTCTGCATTTATCCATCCTCATTGGAGCTAATGGGTCTTGCTCAGAGAGGCAGTATGTGGGTTTGGGTTTTGAACCCACAGCTTCAGGATTCCAAACCCTATGCACTAATCACTAGCCACCACTCCCCATTTCTGTATAATTTTGACAAACATGTAAAACAAATTGTGCAGAAGGAAACAAAACCTTCAACATGTTTAGAATACAACAAAGCATACTTATAGGTCCACCTTAAAATAAAGAAAGCATGCATTAACTGAATAATTGTATTTTCTTTAATTAATCACTTTATTAAATGTGTTTTACTTAATAAATACAATATAACCTGTTAACATTGTGGATAATTGCGCTTTTTTCATTGCATTTAATGACCAAGACACATTGAATGTTAAATGTCCACTGTTAGCAGTATCTTTTCAAAGCACCAACACATTTTGGTTTATAAAAGGGAAGATAAGTAAGCCTTTTCCTCCCCTCTGTCCTAATTCCGCTTTATTTCTTCTTCTTTATGCTATAATATTGCACAATTATGGAAACCATAGCAACAGAACAATAACATAATATGGTGAACATTTGCATTTAAAGGATGATATTTTGAAAGAAGATTACAAGGACTAAACGCTTGTTTTTTTTCACCACCTGGAATCTGGTGTTGCTAACGTTCTTTTGTCTGGGACAAAATTGCATTTTGGCAGAATTAAAAGAAAATTACAAGTTCCCCAGAGTCTGGGACTTTAATTTTTTTCTTTTGTCAGCAGGTGCATTAGTCTCTTCTTTAAGGTCGCAGGCTTTTGTTAATTTTGCTTCATTTTTTTTTCTCGTTCTCAGGGAGATTTCACCTGGAGCAGCCTGTCAGGGCGGAGTGTACGCCTGACTCCAGTCGCCATCCAGAGCCTGTCAGAGCTGGAAAGAGCCAGGCTGCAGGAAGTAGCCTATACCCGCTTACTCCAGGACTATGACCTGGGATGTCAAATAACAATCCCAAAGGGTGAGAGTGCTTTCATTTATAAAACAAAAACTCTTATAGCTGCAATCAAAAAGTGTGGAACATATGTATTTGTTATTTTGTTAGTTTTATTAACTGCAAAATGCATCATAAACTGGAAACTGCACCTTCTAATTTTGCATACCCAGATCTATTTCAATCAATTCATTCAAGATGACACACAGTTCCATTATGATCACTGATCATGCGTGGACTCTATTCTAAGACAACTTGTTATTGGTCCGAGTTTCAGGAAGTTATGAAAAAGACACATTTAGATGTAAGCCACACTTCATGTAGGAATTTGATGCTTCCTGTTAGACATGGTATCTCATGACCCTGCTGGTAGTGACATGTGACTTTTTCCAGTTTAAGTGGATTCTTCATTTAGTTATCGCTGTGAAAAAAACTGTGTTAAACTAAAGCTATGCTTGTACACTGCAAAACAATGTCAGATGTTTTAAATTTAGTGTATTTAATATTAATTTAAGTACGTGAATAAGATGATTTACCAATGGAATTAGTTTCTTTACTCTTAAAATAAGTTATTGAATAAAATGCCCTTAAAATAATACATTGTAATAGTTTTTTTTTTTTTTTTGGTTTAAATTGTGTAAATTGTCTTGTTCCATTGGCAAAGTGTCTACCTTGTCTCCTAAATTAAAAAGCACCTATTTTAAGAAAAAAAAAAACATTTTTAGTTTTCAATTTTTTGCAGTGTACTTGTTTGTTCTCTTTTCCTGTTTACTTTTGTTTCCCTGTTACAAGGTAAACATCTGTCTGGAAAATGACTAAAAAAAACTATTTACGTTAATGTGGCACAAGAGTATTCAGACAGAGTCTGGTTTTTCACTAGGCTCGCCCATGCTAAATGCTCCACCATGAATCTAAAACTAAAGAAAAAATCAACATAAAAAAAATAACAGCTTTTCTTTTTTATATAGTTATAGATTATTTCTTGATGAATCACTTGGTATTTTTAAGGTTTTACTCGTACTAATCCGAGGCAATACCAACTATAGAATGTTATCAAACTCTAAGGAGCTGATCCTTAGAAGGTTCGCTCGTATTAAAAAAGGTACAAATGAGTTTGTACATGCAGAGCTTTAAAGAAGGTACAAAGTAATTTTATTTCAGCACAGTGTGTACAAACTATTTTTTGCATCTTTGCCTTGATCAAAGTAGATCATGTTCTAATGACGAAATATTTACCATGTGCAAAGCTATTTTTACAATCAAAAACCTTTTGCATATTTTTTAGTACTTTGTCTCGTTCACATACAAACATCACACAAATCTGCTGTGTTTATTGCTACATATGAAGCATTGGCACAAAGCTGAGGATGCAGATGATCTGTTTACATAAAAACATATTTTGACCATCGAAAATATTAATAGTAGATTAAATTTAAGGAAGAAATAAAGTCTACACAGGGAGCACATATTAATGCAGACAATCTTTATACAGTAAAAGTAAATTGAGAGAAATGTCTGCGTCACATTTATATAAATAAAATATTAAATGAGCCGGCAAAGAGATGCTATGTTTTATTTTCTTTGACGCTTTGAGATAGGCTACAAGATGCACTATACATATTATTTAGCATTTAACTCAAAACGGGCAGAAACAAATCATTTTGTGATTCTTAATATTTATGAAGAAATCCTTGTACATCTCCTGCAACACACCAATTTATTGCACATACAAATAAAAGATGCACAAGCAGTTTGGGATATCTTCTTTGCAATCTTGAAGGATAAAGCCCCAAGTTGGAAGCCTTGATATATATTCAGAGGTTAATCCACCCACTCAAACACACACCTGTCTATTCAGATTATTTCTATCAGACCGTGTGGGGCCATCCTCATTCTAGGTAATCCCAAGGGATTATCAGACTTTAATCCTGTCAAAATGATTTCAACACCAGCAGATTGCTTACCACCTTTTATTTTTCATCCAAATTGAGGTTTGTAATATAGAAGACAATGTACTTTATATGTTCTTTGCTAGAGGGGTAGGTGCCATCACAAGTTTGTGCTGACTCCATGCTCTACACTAACCCCACACGGTGAAGGAAATTTTCTTTGGATGACTCGGCTGAAGGCTTCCCAAGTAGTGCAAGCAATTTATATGCACCTCAAACATGTTTTATCTGTTTGTTTTTTAGGTTTCCAGATTTCTGGATTTCCTCACTATAGCATTTTTCCTGCCTTTCCTCCAGAGATTACGTCTTGCTTTTGCAAAAGGCAGTAACAGATCCACGTCATGCACACTGAGGCCTGCATTTGCTCCACTATACTCTATATAGCATTGGGGTTAGTTCATAGCAGCAGTGTAGAACGGCTAATGGATTATCTAGGGCCTTGCATTCCAGCTGAAGGTTAAACCTCTCCCTACCATGATTTAATGCATGCTTAACTGTGTTGCTTATGAATTCCAGAGCTCCCGACTGCTGCCATGTGCAGGCGAGGGATATATTTCAAATGGACAAGTGTCTGCATCTGTGGGGGCTATTTCAGCTAATACTTGTTTTCCATTCCTAGTTTTGCATCAGTGGGTCGAATTTTTTGGCGTTTCTTCAAGAACAGAGCAGATTAAAGAAAGACAGAATGAAGACAGACAAAAAAAAAGGACGAGATGAAGATGTGATGCGACAGAAAGTCGGTTGAGGTTCATCAGATTGAGTTGCAAACAGGTCTGGGGTAGAAACGGAGAGTGTGGAGGTTTTGGGTGATTTTCGTATGGCTTTGGGAGCCATCTGTCAAAAAATCCAAACCATTTCCTATCTTGGCTTCTCCCATCTTTCATTCTTCCTCGCCTCCATCACAACATCTGCTTCGGTTTCTCCTCACAGTTTGCAACCCCATCCTCACTGGTGTCATGTCACAGACGCTCTGAAGTATGGGTACTTTTAGTTACTTAAAAAAAATAATTCAAGTAGCCCTCAGCCTAAAGTTCACGAGTCACAACTTATTCAGATTAGTGGGAGGGGGGGTGGATATTTATTGTGACTAGATCTGCTTCCCTACATAACATCGCTTTGTCTAAATTCACATTTCTCTTTGCGGAAGAGTTAAAACTCAGTCAGAATGGATTAAAATAATTTATCTATAACCTTGTGACATTCACAGTTGGGATTAGTTATGGACTTGCATTCAAACACATGGATGCTTTGATCTAAACCAGCTGTAGCTTCTGACCGAACTGATAAAAAGCATTCCTATAGAATCTTGTTGCCACTAGTTTTTGTAACCATGGGGACGCCTTAAGGGTGATTTGAAGACTTTTCTTTTTTGCTTATCACATTTTTTTTTTAATCTGACCAAAAAGTTCAATATTGAGACCAGTACTTTTTCTAGGGTGTCTTTAAACCACTTTTCCAAAAAGACTTGAAATGTGGAATGAAGGACCAGTAGTCACTAGACCCATTTAACTGCCTTTGTTGTGAATCTTTGCAACACTTCCAGAATTGCCATTGGCTTCTGTGCTACTTTTCCGATTAATTATTTATTTTGCTGGGTTTTTAGGCTTAATCATTTAGTTTCTATACAGTTCTTTATTATTTTCCATTTTCTGAAGTCGGATTAAAAGTGTTCTATGACATGTTGAAATTCTGAGCTATAGTTTTATGACATAAGCTATTCAAAGGTATTCAATTACAACTTCTTATGCAGTTTTTTTCCCTCTTTTTCGTTGCTTTATCTCATAAAACCACATTTGGTTTGTCCTTTTATTTTGAAAAATATAAAGTCCAAGAGAAATAAATATATATTCAAAGCTCTTTCAACAAGAAACACTCAAAACTTCATGAAGTCCTTAAGTTCAAACTGAGGTTATCAAGCCAATAGTGGAAATTTCTGAAAACAGGGACCTTAAAAATGAAGGGGTTAGCTTTCGACACTATTAACACAAAAATTCGAGTTAAAATTTTTCCACACGATTACATCATGATCCTAGACGAGGCCTTAAAGAGACTTAAAACTTGCATGCGTTTCGATTTCCAGAGCTTCCTGCGTGTTAATCAGCAGATCCAAGAGTCATTTATCATGCTGGGAGCTGACAGAGCTGCTTCCTTCCATCCAAACACAAATATCCTCATGGATTGCAAGCAGAAACTGAGCTATTGGCTGAATAGCTCTGGTATTAACTCTTTTTGTGCTGATTCATGCAGTTGTTGATGTTTTTTTCATTCAATCATTTGCATTTTTGAAACGAGTCAACAACATTAAGAAGGATCAAAAGAGGAATGTTGACCGAGTAATTTGAAGCTTACCATGTATGGTGCTGTAAAAGCAAAGAAAAAGAAAGACGTTAAGAGTTTGAATAAGCAATCTAACTAATTATGTTGTTTTTTTTGCTGTGGCTGCTACTATTTCTAACCTGACTGTTTATTGAATCGGTTTCCCCCTCTGGTTAATTTATGTCTGCATTCCTGGAATAATTTTATTAAATAAGAGCCAGATAAGAAACTGCAGATATGGGAACTGTTTGTTTCACATGATTTGTTAACTCTTTTGTTTTTTCCTCCTCTGTGGCAGATGGACAGAAGAGGAAAAAGTCATTAAGAAGAAAGCTGGACTCTCTAGCCAAAGAAAAGAGTAAAGACAAAGGTAAGCCGAAGTCCCATGAACATTGCAAATAATCTTAAACTTAAAAATCGGTCCCATCCTGCTCTGTTATCAGCATTTTTAAAGTTGCCATTTTGCGGACTCCATGCATTATGCAGGCGGATAATGAGGTTGTAAAAATAGCACCTGTTCTCCAGCTTAAAGTTTAAAGTGAACCGATTCTGTGAAAGAGATGCTGTGATATACTGAACAGCAGCTTAATCTGAAAGGCTGCACACATAACTTGACTTCAATTTATACAATGTGCCAAAATGTTTCTTTCCTTCAAAGGGAAAGATGCACATATTCTTATAGTTGTTTTTGGCTGGCCAAAAATTAAAAGTCAGAATGGATTGTCAAAAGGACGTCATTTTTAAAGGTACCTGTCAAAATAAGAAGATGCAATGTATTAGAAATAATGGCAAACATAGGATTTTTTTTCTTTTTTTGCAATTAATGAAAACACAAGAAGGGAAGTAGTCAGAAGGGCTACCAAGAAGAAATTGAAGGAGCCACTGGAGTTTTTGTTTGTTAATTACATGTAACCACAAATTCCTTATGCATCAGGGCTGTGCAGTAGGGGTGTCATATGGAAATTTTCCTATATAGAAAAAAAATGCTAAAACTTTCAAACACAAGACAATGTGGAAGAAGTGTGTTATATCGATGTTTAGTACAAAATAGAGTTGAAACAATTAACCGAATGAATAGTGATCAATCAATGATTGAAATAATCGTCAATTAATCTAGTAATCAATAAATCGTTAATTGGAGTGCAAAGACTATAAAACATTCCTTTAGCTCACAGAGTAATCCACTTAGAACAGTAATCATACCAAGATTGTAAAAAATTATATAACCATTTTGCATTTAATATGAAAGAAAAACATTTTAGTCTGTCAATATGCTCTATCTAGAGCACCTGGTTTAATTTCTTAAAAAATCTTCAGAAAAAAAAACCTTCTGCTATCCGATAATTAATCCAAAAAAATAATTGACAGATTAATAACATTAGCTGCAGCCCTAGTACAAATACTGTACAACTCTAAACATCCTTGAAAAGCACACTATAGAGACGGTGGAGCATGGGGAGGCCTTTTTTCTTAGCCTGGAACTTCCATTTTAGATACAGAGACTTATAGACAGGTCTAAATAGCATTGAAAGCTGGCATAACACCTCTACCCTTTAGCTAAGAAGGTGAGGAAGGAATTAATCTTTCAGCACAAACACCAGAAGCATCCATCCTAATCAACTAAAGAGAAGGAATGAAAGAAATGTCCTGCCAAAACCTGAACCTTGAAAATGTATGGGTTGATCTGAACACGGCTGTGCCTCTTAGAATATTATCGCTATATGGCTTTGGGTCACGCAAAGCATCGTGACGATAGGTACCAATCCATAAACAGGTAGTGCTTTACTAACAAAAGTGGTTTTAAGTTTAATTCAAAGGTGTGTGCTTTTATAAGACTACATTTATTCGTTTCCCCCCTTAAAAGTTTTCAATTAGGTTTTCAGTTTAGTTGTATAGGTTTCTGGGCATATTAAAGGTAGAAAAACTACAAAGTAAATTTTTCATGGACCTTTTTTTGTTTTAATCCTCAGAAAAGCCTGCTAGTTTAACAAAAGCGTGCAGGTTTTGTATACCCACTAAGTGCACAAATGGAATTTGTTTAAAATTTAAAGTAACATTTCTGGAACGCAGCTATTGGTGTAAATCCAAATGACGCCAAGGCTTCTCCATTCCAGCTGTGCAAATAGTTCGGTTTCACATGAGCTCACGTTGAGGAGAATAACAAAGTCAGGAGATTCATTTGTGCCTTCAAGAAGTATGTCAGTTTGAAACTGTTATTATAAGCCTGGCATATTTGTCTTCTCTTACTCCATTGCATAAAGAGCTCAGACATATCTACATGTAAAACTGTTTAATTTTCTAAATATATGGTCTAAAATATCAACCTTAATTTTCAGTAAGAAGAGTTTAGTCTCATCTATGGACAAATAGAAAATATAAATTCTGTTGCAGAAAACAGGTCTCCAGACACAAATATGGCTCATTTACTCTACATAGAACATTAAGGGAGTCTAATTCCTTATCTCAATAAGTTATTAGAAAAAGATATTTGACCAAACCTTCTTTTGAACATTTTAACAGCTTTTGTGGATTTACAAGTTAATCCAATCCCATCTTAATACATTACAATACACAATTCCAACTGTGCACCACTTACCCCGGGGCTATTTTGATATATCTGGCAGCATGTGAAATGTGGTTTGGCTGTGGACTCATCTGTGAAATCCAATAATCAGAGTCACATCGACTTTAAATGCATTTCTATGTGTATATGTGATTATGTAAGGCCTTTTAATGCGGTGAGGCTGCAGAGCAAACCCACTGTGTCACAATGTAAGCTGTCATGTTGTTCGGAAACCACAGCTCTGCATTTGTGGTTGTGGAATGCATTTTGTGTTCCCTCTCCTTGTTTTTCTCTTACTCATGGAGCAGTGCAGCTGGATAAGTTTTCTAAAACACAGAATGATTCTTTGTGATTTTGCATCATAGCGCTCTACGTGCTTTTTGTTATGACTGCTGGCAAAACTTTGGGAAACCGGATTTTTGTCAGAAGGATAGCGTTTACTCTTCATGAACACTTTCAGATGTTTGGAGCATGGGAAGGATTATTCTGTGTGTGAAAATTTCTCTATTGATTTAGCCAAATGTTTTGCTTTATTGTCTTGCTGAGAGACCCCATGAAGACCCATTTTCAGTTTTCAAGCAGAGTATAATATCCTTGCGTAACTGTTTGAACCTGATGAAAGATGTTGCATATTACTGTTGGTAAATGTGAAATTAAATTCAAAATAAAATTACATGTGCAACCCTGTACTCACTTCTGAGAGGGAACACCTACAGTATTAAATGCTTGAAAGAGCATGCAGGAGCCCATTTCTCCTAATGCACGCTCTGTTTAAAAGTTCCTGTTTGCAACGCTCATCCAAGTTTACTTTCCAAAAGAAGATTTGCAATTTTTCCACTATTTCAGACTCACAAACGTTAAGTGAAAGTGGGGACAAGCAAGTAGGACGGCCTTACGTAAACATATCACCAGAATGATTGACAATTAGGAGGACCGCTTATTTAGATGATCCACCCGGAAAAAGAACATCCTCCACTATACCTTTAAGTTTAGCCACTGGTTTATTATTAAAAGGACTAAAGTTTTAAATTAAGTTTAGATGGGTTTGGCTACCTTATGGCATAAAAAGTGTAAAATTTGATTGTTTTAATGTTAGAATTTTATTTAAATTAGATTTTATTGTTAACAGTTGTAATACTGATGATTTACTCTAAAAATGAAAGATAATACATTAGTGAAAATGGGTACGAGCACGTAGGACGGCCTTACGTAAACATATTATTTTGATGATCCACCCAGAAAAAAAAAAACATCCTCCACTATACCTTTGAGTATTTTTTTACAAAGAATGAACAACAATCTATTTTAGAAATTTAGAATCATTAGAAATATTACAGAGAAAGATGCATTTCTAAGTATTTTCTTGAAAATGTACTGGCATTTTCAAGAAATGAAATTAAGCAGATTTTATGACAAGTGAAACAGGCTAACAGCTTTACAAGTCCTCCATTACAATGAGCAGAAGGCAGGAAGGGCTTTTCTCCATAGTTAGAAGCTTGACACACTCCAGAGATGTGTCTACAGTAGAGAAATAAGTCCAGAAAAGGCCTTTTTTTTTTTTTGGTACAATGCCTCTCTCAAAACAAACACCAAAGACATGTAGCGTCTTAGCTTTACTTTTGCAACTTGGAGACTTAAAATATGGACTGGTTGCTCAGTTCCTGTTTCTTGAAATCTTAGGAATGCATTTTCTCCTATTTCTCACTCTGAAGCATTTGTATTGCATGAACCTTGATTTATTTTAAAGCACGTTATGAATAAAGGTGATACAGCTAAGTAAAAGAAGTTTATAACCCCAAAATATGAAATAACTTTTTAATAAAACACAGCCTACTATTTTTATCAAATATCTGCTATAGGGAATCTGTTGCCATCTTAAACAACCAAGAGTTAATTTGTATTTTTAGCTTTTAATGATAAGGAATGACATAAAACGATTCATAAAGCTGAAGCATGGCTTTTCTTCTGTAGGGTATTATTTTAAGTTAAAAAAAATATATTATTGAAACAGTTTGCAAGCAGATTAATGGAAAAAAAGCTCTAAAAAACGTTCTTGTCCTTTTAATGTCATTCTGTTGTAAGAATTCAATTCAAATATTTATAATTAAAAACCACTAAAGCTTCTAAGACTGGTATTTGTTATTAAAGTATATTAGTTTGTTCTTTAAATGTTTTTTAGCAACTATTAAGACCCAGGGTTTAAAGAGACATGTGGCTGTGGAGCTTGCAGACCCCTGATAGAGTGAAACTGGACATCATTGATAACTTATTTGGTGATTGCTTGACATTCTGGTCAATTTAATGAAAGTATTTATTTAGAAATGATGATGCCACTAAAGCAGAATTTACATTAAAACATTTTAAAGATATTTTTAAGGCTGTCGACAAGTTTGTATACAAAATCCAGATGTTAGCACTGATTATGTCATTTTTTCTGTCTAGTCTGCCAATCTACAATATTTAATGAGTAGGAAGATTAGAACAAAGTTTCTTGAGTTACTTTTTTTTAACTCTAAAAAGCCACCATAAATGACCTAAATGGAGAACTCTGCATTGCCTGGAAGTGAGCCATCCATGTTATTTTGGTATGCTTTAAAATAAGGCGGCAACTTCATGGTTTCTCTGATGAATTATTTTGGAAAACAGATGCTGCACTTTAATCATGGCGTAAGACTTTTTACTGACATGGTAAACGTGCTTTTTGATGCTTTTATTGCGTTTGTGTAAAAAGCCAAGCAAAAACAGATGGGATAAGGAGACTGTGTTTTCTATCTTCAGACCTATTTTTGGTAGTTTTATGCTTGAGTCTTTTTCTAATTTGCATTTCAAAGAGCCTGCCTTCTTTCCCCTCCTCTCTATGTCTCTATCACATAAGAGTGCGTACCCCAGGCCTTTAGCATACCCCTTTCCCAGGTCATCGCTAACGACAGAACACACAGACAGCGACAGGATGCTTACCGCCTGGACCCCCCACAGCGGGAGGAGCACAAAGACTCCTCTGACCTTGTGTCATCAATTTTGCAGGTGTGTAATCACCTACATTTTAGTTAAAATGCATTTTAATGAGTGAAAGCTTTTGATTTTCTGTCAGAACGCCCATATTCATCATTTATAGCAGGGTTCTAGGTCTGAATGAGCCCCAACGCATCACAACACATCCTTGTTGAGATTACTTCTATGATTTTTTATTATTTTTTTTGTAATATGTTAGTGTTATGCCAGGGTTAACTTGTTAAAAGAGCCACTGAAGTCCACTGAATCTGCGCTTAAAAGGACTTAAGAAGGCTTCAAGATATTTTGGGGCAAATTACCCTACTGTGATTTGAGCTTTGATGGATGTTTCTTTATAGTTTGCCACCAAGCGGCCATCGAACAAAGAATTGTCCAGCAGTAACTCCTCACTCAGCTCCACGTCAGAGACGGCCAATGAGTCAACGTCACCCAACACCCCCGAGTCTGCACCACGTGTTCGCAGGAGGGTAAGAGAGACCTTTAAGAATCTGCCTTTCTATCCCAGAATCCCAAACCTAGATCCCCTTGTTTTTGTATGTTAAATTTACTGAACTTAGATTGAATCAAATGCATGATTACCCACCAGGGTGGCATGTCCGTGGATTCCATCACAGACCTAGACGACAACCAGTCCCGCCTTCTAGAGGCGTTGCAGCTCTCCCTGCCAGCTGAAACGCCGAGTAAGAAGGAAAAGCACAGGGACAAACGTCTAAGCCTGAATCCCATCTATCGTCAGGTTCCCCGGGTGGTGGACAGCTGCTGTCAGCACATCGAGAAATACGGTGGGCAGAGTCCCAACTTCAGCAATCTTTACATACAGTGCACAATTCATGTTTAAACTGAGCTAATTGTTGTTTTTTCCTCTCTTTTTTTATTTTTAGGTTTGCAGACTGTGGGGATCTTCAGAGTGGGAAGCTCTAAGAAGAGAGTAAGACAAGTGAGTACTCCTAATTCTTTTCTTTTTCCATCCAATTAGTGGAAATTCTTCATGACTTGAGCAAATCATATTAGCATGCAGATTATCAACAGAAGGTGTCTCACTTATTAAGTTTTTTGATTCTCTGGTTTTAGAGCAGATATGTTATTTTTTGCCTTGTGATATGGTGCTACATAATACTGGAACATTCACACCTAACCACCTGGACTGTTGGAAGAAGACGAACTTGGAAAATATTTTGATCCCACACTTACTTAACGTCATTATTCTTGGATAGAAGAGGGAATAATCCTATTCTGTTGGATGAAAAGAAATCCCACACATCCATTCCAGCCCAGTTTTTTTTTAAAGATTAAATGATGATTAGCGTTTAATGTGTATTGAGGTGATGACAAAAGGTTATATTCCCAGATCATAACTTCCTGCTGCTTTGAAAATAAAGGAAAGTGCACAACTGGAGTAGCAACATAATTCACCCTTGGAAATAACTTATATCTTATACCTTCCATGATCTGTGATGCCCTTCAGAAGTATTTAACTCCTTTAACTACAACCGCAGCCTGCCTTGAATTTTTAAAGTGGGATGAAGAAAGCCAGTGTTGTTAAAAGTTGTGAGACAGTTTATCAAAAGCCTGTATAAAGAAACAAAGGTTGATCAGAGGCAACTAAAGGAGAACTTCCTGGCCTACAACCAAAACTGTGATGGAAAACTAACAGTATTTTATCCTCAATCCATGGAGAAAGCATCATACTTTGGGTCATGCTTAATAAAAAGCATCCTAGAAGATAACAGGCAAATATTCACCTCCAAAAAGTACTACAACCCTAAAAACACAGCCAAGGTTACAATGGTGATTTAGATCCAGGCATGTTAGTGATAAGATAGGCTTACTCAAAGTCCTGAACTTTATCCAGTTAGGACAGGACTTGAAAACCTGTTTAACCATGGGTGAATTTGAACTTCAGCTATTTTTGGAAGAGAAAGAAAAAAAAATTTGGCAAAAAAGTTTAGTGGTGAAAAGCTGATAGTGACGTACCCCAAATGACTTGTTGCTGCTTGCAGCAAGAGGTTGTTCCACAGCTTCTTGATCCAAATTGGCCCCCGTATAAATCCACATCACACCTAAAGATGTTATAAAAGCACCTAGTAATGGACTTATTGGACTCAATGTGAAGTTGGATGTTTTACAATGCATTCACAGTTCACCTGAAAAATTGCAGATCTTTCTGGTAGACATTTTTGGAAGGAGTTTCGGGGCTTATCTTGGATCCCTAGATTAAAACAATTTCTTCTTTATGGTTTACAACTTGCAGAGTCAAAACAAAACAGGCCAAACCGTCCATAAATTAGCATTTCTTACATTTTTTTTAAAGCATAAGTGTAGATATTATCATCATGCAAACTGTAGCCGCATTGTTGTTATCTGCAGTAATGGCTGGGAGGTAATGGATGGACGGGTGTTTAGGGAGGGTTGACGTTTTGGTGGGACAATCAAACCATTTAGTCATGCTGATATGTTTTGTTTAGAAATGCTGACCTAAGATCAACAGCCTTTTTTTGTCTATAAATCGTACTCTTTATATCACATTAACTCACATTTCTCAAATCTGAATGATTTCACTTGTTGGATGGGATATGTTTTAAATCATCTTCTCATCTTAAAAAAATAAGAACTGGAATCAGCTTTATGCATGTCTGGATGTCATCCAAAAGGCTACATGGTCAAGATTATAACTCATACGGGTAGAAGTAGTCTGGATGGAGTCTTTTAGTGGGTCAAAAGGTCAGGAATGTGTATGGGTGTGTCCCTTCAAAGAATATAATGTCCATTGTTTAGCGCAGAGGATGTTTCTGAATCTCCGTTTTCCTCTCCTTCGCCTGGCTTTTGCTCGGCCCTTAGCTGCGGGAGGAGTTTGATCGGGGTATCGATGTGCAGCTGGATGAGGAGCACAGCGTACATGATGTGGCAGCTCTGCTAAAGGAGTTCCTCAGGGACATGCCTGACCCTCTTCTAACCAGGGAGCTCTACACAGCCTTCATCAACACCACATGTGAGCCTCAACTATTTGCTACTTTCTGGTTACCACATTGCTCTAAAAAAAGTGGACTGCAAAAAATACAATAGCAGTAGGCTGATTTTCCTCAAAATAAGTGATTTTTTTTTCTTGAATTAAGCAGATAAATTAGAAAATTTACATTTAAAATAAGAAGAAATTAAATGCATCTACATCTTATCTTAAATGCATATCTAATATTTTATTTCAAGGGTAAAAATACTTATTGTCCTAATTACCCACTCAAATTAAGGGTAAATACACGTATTTTATGGAATTATTTCCAGATTTTTAGATCACTCTGTTTTTTATTTTGTTTCTCAAAATTAAAAACTTTATCCTACATAGATTTTTTTGGAAGTATATATAAAAGCAGGTTTTACTTAGGTGGGAAAAAACCAAACCCAGAACTGATTACCTGACCTTTATTTTTCGGAATTAACAAAAGGATGCAAACAGGAAGATTTGTAAAGGTGACACATTTGAAAGGGATTTGATAAAATTGGTTAAAAAACTCAAACCACGGCTGACCAAAAAGCACTGTTTCCCATTTTCTGCAACACATTATGATAATCAACAAACTATGGAAATTATTCTTAACTAAAGAGAAGTTGTACTTTTCACAAGGTGTGTTTCCTCATTACACCTGTAATTAAACAAACCCATCCTTTTGAAAGTAACATCTGATCCACTGTAAGGACTGGTATTATTATGAGGGGCTCAGGCTGCTTTATTGTTGCACAACTTAGATACATTCCCAACCTGTAATTTTTAAAAATGCATATTTGACTTTCTACCAAAATATCCTGCAGGAAAATGTCCTCCAATCATTTCCCACATTGCAGCACAACAGTTATCCAAACACTAACATGTCAACTGGATAAGGGTTCAAAACCAAAACATATTAAAATATTGATTTTGGAGTTGCAGAAACTTAATCAGGATGCTAAATTTCATGTCACTTCTCTTTTGTTTTCCTTCTAACTTTTTTCAATCTGGATTTTTGCTGCAGTGTTGGAGCTGGATGAGCAGCACAGCGTCACTCAGCTGCTCATTTACCTGCTCCCAGCATGCAACAGCGACACTCTGCATCGCCTGCTTGAGTTCCTGTCCACCGTGGCAGACCATGCCAACGACCAGCACACGAAGGAGGGTCAGGAGGTGAGGGTGGAGCATGAGTTACAGAAAATAAAGCTGCAGGTTGAGTAAACATCAAGTTAAAATATCTTCAGCAGTTTCTTTCCACCTCATTCGGTGAAAACAGCCAAAAATAAGGGACAGGTAGAACCTCATTTAAATGAGGTCTATTTGCAGCTTTTAATAGCTGGAAGAGAAAATGCACTGTTGGAAGATTACTAAGAAGCCTTGTAGCGACTCTGACATCAGATATTAAGTGAATAGAAGCACTTATTCCCAGATCTGAAAACTAAACCACTGGGCTTCTGACATTTAGCTTCCATTAACCGAAAAGGAAATGGCTGCAAACGGCCAAAGTTTAGGTCAGAGTAAGTCAGAATCAGTAAACATGTTCTCCTTTGGGAAAATACAAGGCTGCGAAACATTCTAAAAGTGTCTAAATGTATTTGTACTATTTGAAACAGACCTACAAGAACAACAACCAAGGGTCCAGTTTATATGACTTGCAGAAAAAAAAAAAAATCTTCAAATCCTTGAAGAAAAAAAAAAGGATTATCCTCTGGTTTTATTAGTCCGATTAAATGCATGAAGTGGTCCTTTGCATAAAGTCTCGGCTATGTTCCATTTAAAGAGCTTAACATTATAATTAGTACTTATTTAGTACTAAAAAAAGGAAAGTAAATAAAAAAGTTGAAGGTTTTGCCGTTTTTTGCAACATTCAAGTGTTCAAGACATCCAGGGCTTTAAGTTTCTACATTGTTTTTATCATATTGGGATGCTACTTTGCTTCCCTTAGTTTATTTTGGTTTGAGGGGGTTGATTGATGCAGGGTTTAATTAAGAAAAATTAGTATCAATATGACTCCTTTTTGACATATTTTGGAATTTTACTGAAGTCTTCATTTTTTTCCCCCTTTAAACCATGAGGGATTTTTATTTTCCCTCAAGTAGTAGTTTTGTTTTGTTTTTCCAGAGAGTTAGTGTTTCTTGGACATGCGCCTCAACAAAATGAAAATATATTTCCTAAGTGAAATATGTTTACATGACAATGAACCCCAGAAACTGTGGTCGTGCGTGCTGTTCCTACATGAATTTAAGGCCACTGTGTTCCGAGTCTTGCACAGGAAGTCCGACTGTTTTACTCTAGACTGGGAAGACCTTTCCATAGCTTTTTTGGCTGCTAGTGGTTCCCATCCCTCCACAGGGACTGGGAGTGGAATAGGGGCTGTAGTGGACAAGTGAAAGCAAACGGGATTTAGACTTTCAAACATTTAAGGAGATTATATCTAAAATCCACCTTGTCAGAACATTTTTTTGGGAAAATGAAAACACGTACTAAATGTGTCCAAGTGGACAAAAACAGAGCACCAAATATTAAGCAAAACAATAGCATGGATATTGTTGGGATCATTTTAATTGATGATGTAAGAGTCTGTTAAACCCTAATAATACCTATTACATGTCAAAATTAATGTTTTCCCAAGTAGTTAATCTAATTAGGACAGTTCTTCTGTCATGATGTATAGTTATCATATTCATTATGTACTGTATTTTTTGGACTATAAGCCACTACTTTTCCCCCCGCTTGGAACCATGCGGCTTATAAGAAGGTGCGGTTTTTCCTAACCGCCATAGGGGGAAGTCAGAGTTGGACATGAAAGTATAAGGGGATAAATTTAATTTAGCACAAGAACATGACACAGACACAACGGAGAACAAATGTCCGGAATTCACAGATTTTGCCATTTATTTGCCTCATTAAAGCTGCCGAACCAATCAAGAGACTGGGCTCATCTTTCAGTAGAAGCTGTTAGGTGGCCTAGTGGTTAGGGCATTGCTCTTGGGTCCCAGTGGTTCTGAGTTAAAGTCCCACACACTCCCACAGACTGCAATTCTGGGTCCCTAAGCAAGACCCTTAATTGCAAATGTCAAGTGAACAGTTGAGTAAATTTCCCCATTGTGGGACAAATAAAGGATTTACATTTGTACTGTTGCGAGCCAACAAGCAGGAGCTAGGATTCTTTTTCATCCGTACTCCAGGGGCTATATGTAGAACTCCCCCTACAGGTTTGGAGGGAGACAGTTCAGTAGATATCAGCCCGATTATAGCCCAGTGCAGCTTATATATGTACAATTCCAGTTTTTTTTTTTTTTATGTAGTGGGCAAGGCTTATAGTGAGGTAAGCCCTATAGTCTGGCAATCACGGTACATAATAGAGATTTGGAAATGAAATGGGGGCACAGACAAAGTGGATCTCTCTTAACAGTGCGTTCTCTGTGCTTTTCTGTGGGACACTGAGTAATAGTTTGATACGGCTGGAGACAGGGATCCAAACATTTACAAATGTGTATGATGATAAATGAAAAGTTTCTTTAACTGGGATTTGGGGCCAACTTCATGGAGAAGGGAATCCGGTTAGTAAGCACTGCCATCAGTAAATACAAGTAATTTCTCTGCTCCAAGTAAGATTATTATTTCTGTCAAAATCTCCTCTCAGGAAAGAATTGAGGATTTTCAACACACGAGCTATCCTTTTATAATATGTAAAGTATTTATCTTAGTTACTATTAAGTAACTAAGATAAATTAAGAGAGTATGTTACTGAAGATTTGTGTTAAACCTCGGGCCCCTTTCACAAAGCAGGTTAACTGAAAAATCTAAGTTTTTTTAAACCCTAAATCAGGGAAACAGTTTTCCTTTTCACAAAGAGAGTTTATACAAGTTCTGTAACCTTTACCGTAATAACATTCTCCCCTCAGCTAACCTGGTTGGGAGCAGGTTTTGTTCAGTAAACTCAATGTCATCTGTCTTCACCCTCCTTAAAGCCAAAAATACATGCCCCACCTTTCAAAGTTGTATTTGCAAATATATAAATACATACAAAATTCATGCCTCATGTTAATTTTGCTGCCTTTGCATCCTAATTTCAGATTCCGGGGAACAAAATGACATCTTTAAACCTCGCCACCATCTTTGGGCCTAACCTGCTCCACAAACAGAAGAGCTCAGATAAAGAGTTCAGCGTCCAGAGCTCAGCCAGGGCGGAGGAGAGCACCGCCGTCATCGCGGTGCTGCAGAGGATGATCGCTGGTTGTCAAACGCTCTTCATGGTTCGTGGCTCTGCGCATACATACAGTACACACACTCACTCATAGTTGCTTGGCGTCACCTATAAGAAGAGTACTCAGTGGCTCAAACTTTTTAGACCAAGATTAAAGGCTCTTATCCTTCATGAGCTCCCCTTTCTTGTAGTTTTTTTTTTTTTTTTCTTTAGGTCAGCTCAGTATTAAGAATATTTGCGTCAAATTTCTAATCTTTTAATGTCTCTGAGCCATACATTTTCACGCTTATCCAATGCTATGAGGGCATTACCTTAGTCTTAGGTAGTGGAATGCAAGTTGTAGGGAGTTCAGGTTTTTGTTTAAAGGAGTCATAGAATGATTATACCTTATAGGGTGTTTGGTGCTTGCTTTAAGGTCTCTGAATAGGGTGTGTATAATATTGGTTGGGCTGAAAATGGCATATTTGCTGTTCTATGAGCCCTAATGCAAGCCTTTTTATAAGCCCTAGAATCAAAGCATATGGTGTGCTCATGAATTGGTTGGTGTACAACGAGCCAGCAATTGTTGATGTGGCAGGGTGACCAGATTTCCTCTTTTTCCCAGACATATCCTACTTTACATACCTGAAAAAAAATGTCTGGGGGCAATTTCAAAATCGTGCGGGATTTTGGTTGTCTACAGTGCAGCACGCACTGAAAACACACCGGGCATTCGAACCAAACCGTGAGCTCCGGGGCTGGTCCGGGAATCCCGGCTCACAGGAGCAGGGAGCCAGGAGGGGACGGAGAGACCGAACCCGACCCGGTGATGGTACGATTTGGAGCTGACGGCTCGGTTCGAACGCCAGGTCCAGTACAGACAGCAGACCAGCCACTGTCCAAGATTCTGCTTAGAGCAAATGAACAGCTGAGCATCAAAATTTGCGGGGATCTTCTGATAGACAAAATATAGACAAAATATAATCCATGCCTGTCAAGTCTTCGGATCCTTGGGAAGACAGTGAAAATTTTCCCCTTTCTCCATGCAGCCTGGAACACTGCATTTACAGCCGTGGTTTTGGCTCATTTTCAATAGAGAAACTGCCTGCTTTGTAATCCTTATAGAAGTAAATGCAACTGTAGGCTAAACAAATAAACTTGTCTTACATCTACCACCTTTTCATGTTCTTGGGCCAGTGAACCAGTGGGCTGGTCTGTATGTCAATTTCGGAGCGTGACAAAAGTACAGGCCAGAACCAAATAAGGCAACATCCCCGAGTTGATGTCAATTTGGTGCTTTGTTTGGATTTGCCCGTTTTATGGTGGAAGTTTAGAATTGTGAGATTTGCAGAGAAAGGAGGTGTCAATGGCGTTTGTATGTCCATTTCACCCACTCTACTATCCTTATTCATCTATGACAATGTAAATTTGGTTTTGCATTCTATGACCACTTTAATGTCAAGGCTGAAATTTTTGCCCATTAAACTTGCGTTTCTATAACCTCTGAATTTAACCATTTTGTTAAAGATCTGATACAGAAAGACAGTAGTAAATTTCTTTTTAGTGCATTAATTAAGGATTTCAATCAAGTTGAATTTGGTTTACAGGTCCCCCCTGATCTGCAGAATGAAGTTTTGATGAGCCTTTTGGAGACTGATCCAGATGTGGTTGACTACCTTCTTAGGAGGAAAGCCTCACAGTGAGTTCCATTCACTCACTATCTTGTCTCACTTTTCTTTGGCAGCCTCTATCCTGCCCTAATTTTCCTTTTAACCACAGGAGTCCTGACCTCCTTCAGCCCGAAGAGCCCTTCAGTCTGAGCGAGCGACGTTCATCCAGCGATTCAAACAAGGTGTCTAGTGGGGAAGTTTCTCCTTATGACAACAATTCGCCAGTGCTGAGTGAGCGCAGAGGGGACCCAGGGAGTCTGGCCGGTGATCAGCAGTTCCCTGTGGTGGAGTCGGTGGCTGACTGGGGTCGAGAGCCTTCAAAAGGTCAGCACTGCAGAGAATATTGATGCAGCCTGTCTCTTCTCTGTCCTTTAAGTAACTTTGTAAGATTTTCTTTTCCTTTTTCAGAGGAACATGCCAACATTTGGGGCACGTGGCACAGCACTCTCAAACCAGCTCTCAAGAACCAATCATATGCAAGTACGTTTTTTTTTTATCCCTCAAGAACACCTTTTACATCGACATTTAAGAATGATTCAATATTAAAGTACAAAGGTGGAAAGTTTTCCTGAGATGGTCAACCTATCAATAAAACTACTGAGACATGTCCTAATTTGTCAATTAGTGATGCAATAATTTTCTTTAAGCAATAATCTTAAAATAAAAATATATTGACTTTGTGGATTAGAGACTCATTTTTTTTAAAATTGCATTGTCCAAACAATTAAATAAATAATCATTTTTGCGGAACTGTTCTTTGTCAGTAAAGCATGGCGGTGGTAGTATTATGCTTGTGTAAATGGTTTGCTGCATCCAGAACTTTAAAGCTCTACTTTTTATTTATTTTTTTTTTTTACTCAATCATGTCTTTCAACACTAAGTGGGCCTTATTTGGTTCCTTCTTAAATAAAATATGACCAGCACTATTTTCAGCACTCATTTGCTCTTTTAGTATGGTATAAATACTTTCCATTTCGCCTTGTTAGACAGGAAAAGTGAAAAAGGGAATTTCTAAAAGTTTAAGTTATGAAAAATTTTAATTTGAAGAAATATATTCGCATATTCAAATGATTGTCATAAGAATATGTTTAAATTGTTATTTATATAAATAATGGTATATTTTTCCCTCTCCTTTTTGATTGCAAATTATGAGTATTACTAATGTACTAATGCCGTTTCTAGGTTCCCATTGCAACATGTCAGAGGAAAGCTCTCGCAGCTCTCAGGAAGGTCTTGATGGTCTCCATAGTGATGTCAAAGTCCCGACAGACACAAAACGAACTCATACAGCACTAGAGTGCAGAACCCACCCTCATGTATCCCGCCTGTGCACAGCCCCTCACTCAGACACAGGGCGACCTCGCCTGCAGCTGAACATTAACCCTACTATGACATCCCACCTGAACAGCATGCCGGGCTCCATTCGATTCCCAAGCGAAAGACGCTCCCCTCCCCCTTACAATGCCCATCACCGTGTGGCCAGCTCTCAGAGCTCCCCGCAGCTTGCAACACCTTCACGGCCTCAGCTGCAACCGGGCAGGCCCATCACGACGCACACCAACTCGGGCCAAGCGGTTCCGCCGAGTTCAGAGTGGCAGGACTGGCAGCGGGAACGGTGGCAAATCTGGCAGCTGCTCTCCTCGGACAATGCTGACACACTGCCGGAGACGCTGGTGTGATTTTGGACCGTACGCTCCAGCATAACCCCAGCTTATTTTTGTTCGTTCTTTTTCCATCTCGGCGCCATGAAGTTGTTTACATGCGCAGCTGCTGCCTTATCCGGATCTTTGTTTTTTTTTTTTTTATTATTCTTTATATATGAACCACTAGCATTTCTTCTTTGTATGGATTTTATGACCTCTCTTTTTCAGCCCTTATGTTTCTTGAGTTAGGAGCCCACCAAAAATACCTCAAATTATATAAACCTTTGAGAATAAACACCAAGTATTCTGCTATGTCAGCTTAGCCTAATCGATGGAAAATATTTGCTTCTTTGCAGTTTTAAAAAATATTTTATTGCTTTTTTTTTTTTTTTTACACAAATTATGATGTACACATTATTTGCTGCTAATATTTTTGTGCATACTATTAAATTTATTCAGCCACATGCTTTAATGTTAAATGTTGGACTGTATCATATGTAATATAATGTAACATATGTATGTCGTTTTCCTCAGAATATCTACCTAAAATCAAAACAGTTTCTTTGCTTGTTAAAAGTTTTTGTCCATATTCCGTTATTCTAAAGTAAATTTTAACAGAAGTAACGTGCTTTAAACCCGTGTCGGACTGCAGAAACATTGTGCCAAACTCTACTATAGGAACTTGAGTTTTCAGGATTGTTTTGGGTCTGCTAGTTTCTTTCATGGGCATTTGGACAATTTCAGAGATTGTAATAAGATTTCTTTATGTTTGCAATGAAAAACAACATATTTTTTTTTATTCAGATATGATAAACATCCCCAAAAGGTTTGGAAAAAAAAGTGTTTATACTTTTAATTTTGTAGATTTTTGTAAAAAATAAAAACAACATATTTTTTAATCTTTAAAATTCTAAAACTAGGTTGTGCTTTTTCAATAATTATCTGCTTCCCAGGTAAAGTTGTATTTCCCCCAAGAAATTCCACCTGAGGACTAAGAAAAGATTGATTTTGTGTTCTATTTCTATTTTGATTTCATCAAATGTTTCAGTTATCTTTCTGAAAGGACAATATCTTTTCAGTCCTTGTATTTTTAATGTACTTCCCTGTCTATTTGGATAAAACAAAGGTTTCAACATGATCACAGATCCTCTAATTTACTCAAAAAGGGGCTTTTCCAAACTTCTGTTCCTTATTTTACTCCAGGCCTACTTGGTGCCTTGTTACAAATGACATTTGCAAGCCATTTGCAGTTGCATGCCTACTAAAAAAATATTATTTGGAAAATGGGTGAATTAGATTTTTACAACATTTTATAATTAATCCCAAATTTAAACTTAAACAGCTTTCGATCAAATCCACCTGATCTGCACATACTCCTGTCTTTCCCATTGCAAGAACAGGTAAAGAGAAATGACTTTATGTGATCATATTGTCATGCATACATGACTTCTCAATAACTTTGGGAAAAATAAAAGAAATATGTGGTTATATTTACAAATTTGGGGCACAAATGGTTATTGGAAAGGTGATTTTTATAATACCATAAAAAATATTCTTTTAAATTAAATCCGCTCACATACAGGCTGATTTTTCTTTCTCTTTTATTATTTAATTTTCAGTGTAAAGTGATGTCACCAGTGAAACACAAAAAAAATAAATAAACTTTTTATAGAGGGGAACTATAAAGATTTTTCAAAATATTTGAACTACCAACTGATTCTTTCATATAATGCTTTGATACATGATGTCTAAATATGACATTTTATTACACACAAAACCCAATTGATTTACTAGATTCACCCAGTCTGTCCACCTTGTACCAGATTTCATATTGAAGTGAAATATTTGCAGGCAAATATTTCTCCACAGAACTCCCATTTGCTCAAATAAATAGCTTTTTGGACTGCTTTATTAGTAAGCATATTGTATCCACCCAGAAAAACAAGAAGGGTCACTTTAATGCAGGTGGCGCCATCTAGTGTTTGAAAACACACTCAAGCTTCTTCAGCTTCACGTTTCTATGGAAACCCTCCCTCCCCATCAGTGCTGAAACTAAAAAGCTTGTGACTAAAAGCACCTTCTGTAAAAATGTTAGGAACTGTGTGTGCCATAGGTCTGGTCTCTCCGTGTATAGCTCACTACTTTTATATTTTTGTGAATTTGTTCATTGTCGTAATATGAAATATAATGTATCAATTTGAACCCAAAAACGATGAAAATATGAGGGGAAAAAAAAGAATCCTCATGGTTCTTGTTTAATCTCATGTCTTGTGGACTTCACTATGAAACCATTGGAATCGGTTTCATTTAGGTGGCTTTTATTGGGTCCAAAGTTGTTATATGTTTGGTTACTGCTTTTGTATTGTGTGTTCTTAGCATATGCTAACATTGCATTAAAAAAACTCTTAAGGTACTCTTGAATCGGCTTGAATGATTTGAGGATACACTGCATAAATTTTTAACCTGGGTTATATCATGTTGAATTGATTAAAATAATTGATTCAAATCCAGCTGCTAAATAACACTAAATATATCTTAGAGCATTGTAAAGGGGAAAAAAATTAAAGTCTAGAGTCACATTTCAAATTAAATAATGATTTTCAGATTAATTTTTAGTATCTGCTTATAAAGAAGTTTAATAATCTTTCCTGGAAGTAAAATATGTTGGCCAAATTTAATATACATTTTTTTTGTTTATTTAAAGAAAAGGTAGCAACACTTTTTTTCCTTAGTTGTGCATCTACATATACTTTATTAGGAAGATGTTGCTAATAACAGGTAGGATCCTTCCTTTTCCTTAACTGGTTATATTTTAATGGCCTGTTTACCCAGTTGTTGGAAGTTAATGAAGGCATCGTTCAGTTGCTCCGGATTTCTAAGGAGTTTATTTAAGTTGGTCAGATTTCTTTTTTTTTTTTTAGATTGGGATTGTTGTTGTATGGCTCAGGAATAGAGAACTCAAATGCAGGATCTGACACAGTGGAATCAAGTTCAAGGTTCTTATAATACCATTACAATACCTTATAATAACACCAAAAATCCACTGTAAGCAGGAGTTGCAAAAACAGAGGCAGGAAAAGGTCCAAAAACAAGCCGGGGCAAAAAATGACTAGAAAGCTCATTTCAAATCAAATCAAAAAGGCTTAAATGCTTGACTCAAAGGACAAAGACAAACTGGTAAAGTGAAGCTGCATGACTGAGAAATAAATATGCCAACAAACAAAGGAGGATCACATACTCCAGGTGAATGACATTAGGGTCCTAATTGCAGGGACGAACTCAGGAAGTGATGTTGCCTAAAACGAGATAGGAAATAAATACAAAATAAAACAGGAAATGTAAATAAATGGTAACACAAGTAAACTTAACTAGTCAGCACGGCCTGACAGAGATCAGGGGCCGTTTTTGTCAAGCTTCTTAGAATTAGTCCTAATATCGCTCTAAAGAGTGGACTAATGAACATAAAAGCTGGACTTAGTTATTTATCTAGTGTCTCACTCACTTTCAGCAAAGTGTAGGACAGAATCTTCAGTGTGACAGTACCTGGTGCTCTATATGAAATTATAGATTATGTCACTTTTAAGTCCATTAAATTGACCCATTGTTGAATCGAACTGTTTACTAATGGCTGCAATGGCCTAGTGTTATCTTCAAAATTAAATAACCTGAATATTGTGTTAAAATCTTGTATACCTATTGGGAACATCTAAATGTTTTTATTCTCTTTCTCAAGGTTTCTATCCAAATCTGATGTACATTTCCAAAAACAACTAGTGAAAACACTTGTCTGCATTTACACAGCAGGGAAACAGACTGGTTTATCCTTTTTTATTATGATGCTCATATATAAGCATTAACTTTGGAATCAGAGCAACTTCATTAGTCACATGCACATTGGGGACAGAAGGGAGCATCAAGCTGAGTCTTAAGACCATCCTGTAAACAGCTGGGACCCCCCTTATGCCCCTTCTTCTTTAAAGTATGAATTCATATCTTTTAAAGGAAATATATCTATCTGGTTTAGACCATAAAACAGTTATGACAGTAAATTAATATAACATCATAAGTAGTTTATGCTGAATGAGGGTGATCTTTTGATTTATCTTTGTATATTGTTTGGCGACAGGCTATCAGCCGCTAACTTTTTAGCAACCAGAACAAATTATTTTTATTATAAAAGATGTGATAGTGAACGATGGTCATTTTGGCAATTCTTCCATCTCTAGCCTCGACTTAGACAGCTGTTATTGTCATTTTGTATACACAAGGTTTAGTACAGCTTTCAGACAGTAAATTAACATTTCCGTTCCATAAAGTGAAACAGTGATTAAATGTAAACACAGTTTGGGGAAAATAAAGTGGTGCAAAAAAAACCAAACGCATTGATATGGAAGTTCAGAGCATTAATAATATGTGATGCAAATATGCAGTATTTTGGTTTGATGTTATCAGTGTGATGCAGAGTCTGTGACTTGATTTAGTTTTTCTTTTCAACAGTTTAGCAGTGTGATGGCAGCGGGGAAGACACTGTTGCAGAATCTGCTGGCCCTGCAGTGGATGCTGCGAAGCCTCTTCCCAGAGGGCAGCAGGGAGAACAGTCCATGGTGGATAGACTGATTCTGCTATACGTGGAGAATGAAAATGAAGCGGGAGGATGAAAACAATGAAGAGGCATTAACACAGAAAGCTTCAGCACAATCAGCATTGGCCACTGCTGCATGCACGCAGGATCTATTTCCAACCAAAACAGACTCAGACTTGGAGACCAGAGGTAATGCTATTGATAACAAGCATGAAACTAAGAATATAGAGTAGAGTAAAAGGTGAGCTTCGATCTACTACAGCACCATACTGTGATGCGGTTATTGATGCTCACAGTTGCACTTTTTGTGAATTCACAGATATTCTCTGTGGTAATTACAGGCTGAAATGTAAGTCAGACAAGACAAGGAAGACGTTATTCAGTTTTGAAATAATGGTGATCAGCTTAGGTTGTTTATGTTTTGAGCAGCCATGGTCACATTATTATATTATTTGGTCACTTAAATACTGTTTTAATTGTATCATTGCTTTGCTGGTTGAAGTAAAGCAAAAGAAAGAGGAAAAATGGTTTGACAGTGGGGTGAAGGAAGCCATCTTTGCGGAAAAAAAGAGAAAAACAATGACTACACTGTAAAAAATCGAAATCTATACAAGCCATTTTTTTTCTTAAAATAAGTGCATTTGCTCTTAGATTGAGGAGGTAAAAGAGACATCTTGCCAATGGAACAGGACAATTTACACTTAGAATAAGAAAACATAATTGAATTGTCTTTTCACAAGTGCATATTATCTAATTATCTTATTTTAAGAGTAAAAATACTCATTCCATTGGCAAACCATCTCATTTACTTACTCAAATTAAGGACAAATACACTTAATTGAATACATTTTTACTTATTTCTAGATAGTTTTTCCAATGTAAGAGAGGGAAGATTAATGTTTCAGCTTCCAATGATTTAAAATCATGGACCTCATTCCAACGAAATAAGAAATGATTCAAAAGACCAATCATGTAGCCCATGCACAACTAAAGACTCCAGTGACCCAGAAGAATGAGGAGTGGCTATTTGAATTGCATCTGACTTGGAATTTGTGCAGGAGGAGGGATCTCCATGCTTCTTAAATACATTAGCGCTCCAACTGCAGATTACTCTGATGCGCACAAAAAGAATTGACAAAGACTCCCATATAGGTATGGGAACATTTTCAAAAAAAAAATAAGCGACAGT